CAAAGTCACTTTTTTGTGGGACGTTATTATATATAATTATATTTTTTTCATATATTCTTTATTTCATTTATTAGTTCACTTTTTCACTGTCTTATGCATATTGTTTATTGGAGAAATTTTAGGTGGGAAAGAGCCTCCAACTCTGACTACAGGGACTGTGGCCCTGAAAGGGTTAATCAGTATGCAAGAGATGGCTGAAAAGTGCAGTAACCAGCCAGTAGGTGTCTGGGAGTTGTGGGTTAGAACAGGTCATGCTTATGAGGAAGAGATGGTTGTTGTTTGTTGCTGAGACACTGTTGAGCTCTGGTGACCTTTTTGGTGGACTCAGAAACAGGTGGGGATTTTGAAAACCTGTTAAGGGACAGGTTTTAAGGGCTGTGAGCCAAAATCTTTGTGTGGTGTACCAGGAGTGTAGACTGTTTTGTGTATTTTTATGCTAAACTCAAGCTGTTTTGTTTACCTTTTTTTTTAAAAAAAACTGCTTTGCTTTTGGCAACACGGTTAGCAGGTGATCCCAGGCTCCCCCATATCACAGTAGTTTACAGGATTATGCTTGGAGCATTAGGGGTAGAAAATACATGCAACCTGTTTTATGAAGTATGGCATCCCCAGCTCGCATCTTAGGTGAACTGAACAGTTCAGAACAGTAAAACTTTCTATTCATTAAAACTTACTAAAGGTAATAGAAATCTGTACTAGGGGAAATAAAGTGGCTGTCCTTGCTGACGACCTTCTAAAAATGTCAGTTGTCTGGCTGTCTCATTCTCAGCTTTGCATCATTAACCTACAACAAGCATCTGAGAAGTTATTTCAGAGTGAACTAAAACTCCAGATCTGCATGCATGTTCTCCTGATCTGTTCCAGCTCAGTGAGAAGTTTTAAAGCCACTGGATTGGCATTATCCAGTGGCTAGGCCAGGTAGTTGGAATCTTTAGAAGATTAGGTCAGCAATGACTGCTCTCCAATTTCTCTCAATACAGATTTTCTTCAAACCCCAGAGGAACTGTCAATATAAATCTGCAAAATACATGCATTAAAACAAAAAAGCGTATAATATGTCCCATAGGTTTTTTCTAAAGTGTGGCCCCTGAAGAAAAGGGCTTCCTGTGTAGAAGAGGTAGCCTCTCTACAGAGGTCTGACATGCCCTCTTCTGAGTCACATCTGGATGTAATCAACAGGGGACATTAGCTTAGCGACTTGTAGAGCAGCTCTAGCTCTGACTCAGCAAGGGGTATGTCCATCCTCTTCAGAGACCACTCCTTCCAAGCAATGGTCCTTCTCTACAGCATGCTGTAGGGTTAGACTTTGTATTTTCACAGCCCCAAACTCAATATTTGTCAAACTTAAAGGTAGGTAGGTAGATGGGGGCCTTGAATAACGTTTCCTAAAATCTTTGCAGTTCATGAGGTTAAGTGGGTTGGGGATGGGAAGATTGTTATTTTTCTTTAATCTTCAGTTGCACTTTAATTTGTTGTAGATTTCCTGGTCGAAAGAGAAGCTAATGAAAGAGCCAGTTCAGTTCGTAGACTTTCTAGAGACAAGCTCAACAGCGAAGAGTAGGGTGTACCGACCAGTCACCAACCAGAGACAGCTTGTATCTAAGCTGGATGAATACTGGATGAAGATGAGAATGAACTCCCCCAGCTCTGGAGTGAGTATCTTTCCCAAAGTTTTTCTCATCTTTTGTGGAATCAACTTTTTTAATGTACAGACAAAATAGCCCTCTGACACAGGACCTTCTACATAACAGGTAATCTGTGCTCCTCCTCAGCTTAGTTTGGCCATTCTCAATCCAACATTTTCATCCACTGTGAACACGTTTAGCATTGCTTGCAACATATGCAGTTGTAAAGGTTAAAGTTTTAAAGCCTCTAGTTTTTTCCTCTTATAGTGATAAACAGACATATTCAATGTTGTCAAGTTAAATGTAAAGAATATCTAAAATCAAGAACGCAAATTTAATATATTGCAGCTTACCAGTTATTAGATGATTTCACTTTTCAAAAAAAGGTTTTCTTTTTGAGGCTTTTCTTCCTGTATTTCCACCTGGTGATCCTGCCACTAACACACTTCCTGTGCTAGAGTGACAACATTCACTCACTTTGTTGTATCTATGGAGGAGCAGCATTGTTACCCTAGGACAAACTATAGAATGCCTCCTTCTCTCCTTATCTACACAACATAGAGGGGAGGGGTTCTGTAGTCCTCAGACATTGCTTGGAACAGGCAGAGTGTACAGGAAGTTATTAGCTGACAATATTTATGGCAGGATACGGGTCTGATGTATGGATCAGATCGCAATCTGACCCACATGCATGTACACACCATGATGCACATGGAAGTCTGTGCAGCCAGCTGTCTGTCATTGATTTGAGCAGGCTGTCTGTACAGGCTGCACAGAACACCTGTCTATCCAATGCTGATAAAGTGATTTGTTATATTTGTTGAGAAAGTGCAACAAAATACCTGTTTATCTTGCCAGAAATATTTTGCATCCCACGTGGATGAAAATAGCACTTCACACGGGTATATAGATCAGCATGCTTGTTTGGATGAGGCCTTAGGGCTAATGTGCACTGCAGCTGCTAAACTGATGTTCAAGAGCTGTTCAGTGCAGGGGCGGACTGACCATTTGGAAAACTCGGGCACTGCCCGAGGGCCCGGGGTCAGTAGGGGGCCCCATGAGATGCCCCTGGTACCTTTTTCATAGGCTTTTTTGAGTTTGGACAAGGACACAGGAGCCCCATGATCCGTATTTGCCCGGGGGCCCCATGAGTTGTCAGTCCGCCCCTGGTCAGCGTTTTTTTCAGCAGCCCCTGAACTCTCCCTAACGTTTTCCTATGTGTCCATGTACACATAGTCGTTTACAGTCATTTACAGGCAGTTGAGTTTAGTCGTTTTTTTTTAACACACCAAACTTTCATTCAGGAGTAGATTTTACTGGTGTTTCAAACGCTTGTAAACACGGTTAACCGTCACCATGTCATCAGTAATGCATGCAAAGTGTTTTCCATGTATTCAAATGGACCCGGTACACCAGTGCAGTCAGTTCCAGGTTTTGCATGAAGCAAAAAATGGTAGAACGTGCCGCATTATGCTCATGATGGAATCCATAGTGAATACAACCAGAAAAGACAGGTCATCTTAACACATACTGCTCTCTCTGCTTCTGCTCTCTCTATTCCTCTCAAAATGTCTGAAATAGTTAATTTTTTACTATTTTTCAGTGCATTCTGGGCATTTGGGAAGGTCTCCTGAGGTTATCTTTTAAAAACGCTTCTAAACGCAAACACATAAACGCGGTATGCAAACGCGGCTAAATAGACGTTTTTTAACCTACATTTTCCAGCAGTCAGTTTCTATCGTTCAGAAACTGTACATGAGCCCATAGGGTCTAACTGTTCATTTATGTTGGAATAGACCTTAACTGAATTGGCCTCTGTTTGCACTGCCTGTCCGCATGCTTGTCCTCACTTGTCTGATATCAGTGTCCAGACCTCTCATTTTTCTCTTTTTTGCTATTCAGTACTTTCCATATGCAAGTGATGCATCCTTATGTTTTCATTAGACCATGAGAGACAGATTTATACAATGTGGCGCTATATGTTCCATAAGGCAAGCTGTATAAAGGCAGCTTATTTATTTTGAATGGATTCGCAGTGCACCGTAACATACAAAACATGACTCAGACATGACTTTAACACAGCATGCAGATGCATTGCCTGCTACTGTAGTTGTGTATGATGTGCCATTCTAAATGAATGGCATTGCAAGACACTGTACCATAGCACTGCAGTGTGAATGGTGCCTGAAGCTTTGTACGTATATGGGCTTCAGTTTATTTAAAAGCAATGTATACAGCTAGCTATTACTCAGCACTTTAAACAAGTGGCCTTTCAGTAAACTTCAGTAGTATTTGGAAATTGTTGAAAGCCTTCTAGGAGTTTGTATTCAGGGACAACTGTCACTCCCATTATGATCTATTTTCAACATCCCCAAACTGAAGCTTTAAGTGCCTTTTCACACCTGCCCAGTCCACTGCAGTGCGTTATATGCGCACACATTAACGTGTGTTGCACTAGGACAGCCTATTCATTTGTATGGGCTCCTCAACACACTGCAAAAAAAAAAAAATCATGCATTCAGCATTTTCAGCAATGCAGCACACAGCAATGCACTTTAATATGTGGCCATATGTTGCAATGCGCTACAAACTAAGTATGCTTTGAAGGTGTGTTAGGGTACCATTCAGAGTGCTGCCAGATTACACCAAAGTGCATAACGCATGTTACTATAATGGTGTGAATGGTCTCCTAAAGCTTCATGGAAGCTGCTATTCTTATATTTTGAATAGCTAACCGTGTACACTAGGACACTATAAACAGCTTTAACTGATACACGTGATGAGAATATTGGACGAATAATCGTCAGGGTTTTTTTTGTATGCTAGTCTCCATATTTAAAATGAAGAGGTTACTAAAGTTAAGAAAATTCTTGTACCACAGAATAAAAATTCGTAAGTGAAGTAATGCATTGCATTGTACTTGTATTTTCGATCAAAAACTGTACTGATTAAATGAAAATTGTGCAATCTGGTATATTGTACGAGAAAAATGTTCGTGCTTGTCCCTTCAGATAATTTCACACGACCTGTCCTGATCAGCTCTTTAAAGCTGTGTACTAACGATCAGTCCTATCATATGATCACTTCGAAAGCAGTATTTTTCATACGATTTTCTGATCATGTGTACAAGGCTTTAGACAGTGCAAAAAGCTATAGTAATGCACAAAGTGCAAAAATACTGAACTGAAAATAAACTGTCATCACACTGAATGCTCTGTGCATTTCGCATATCATTCCAGTGAGCATACAGTGGATGGATATACAGTACTTGTGCCTATACTAAATCTGCTTTCTGTTTCATTTACACAGGATACATATGTATTCTTTGCTGAAGCTGTCCAGCACGTCATAAGAGCAGCTAGAGTCTTCAGACAACCGGGAGGTCATATGATGCTGGTAATGATAATGTTTATTGTACATCAATTTATCTTGGGATATGTACCGCTCAGATAAACAATAACAATTTCCAATTTTAATGTTTTTACCATAGAGTAAATGAGGAGCAAAATCAATATTAGACCTAATTTGAAGAATAGCTGCCATGTGTAAAGATCCCAATTAATAAATCCTGCCAAGATACTGAACAGTGGCATTGTTCAGTCTTAAACAATAGGGACAAAGAACATTAATTCTAGCAAACATTGTCACAAGCTTGAGCAGATTTCTTGAAGTTCATTTTAGGGAGCTCCCTCCTGTTAAGCACAGAAGAAAGATTAAAGCCTAAATTTGGACTCTGAGTCACTCCTCGTTTGTGTTCCAACTTAAAGGAAAAGTATGGCCAAAGCTCTTTTGGCCATACTTCTGTGAGTTACAGGACTGCAGTTAGTTCTGCACTCTTTGTATTTCAATGGTTTTTATTAATTAATAACAATTAACACAGAAGCAACAAATCACGCCCACGCAGGGGCTATCAATTGCACATAGAAGAAATAGAAAATTAAAGAAATCAGTGCTCTAACACCAACAGGGCAAAAGATCGCCCACGCAGGGGCTATCAATGGCACTTAATTCTGCACTCTTTGGACCTAGACTTTAGACTGCTGATGTCACAGAGCCGGTCCAAGCTCCTTTAGGGATCCCAACAATACTGTTGAGATCTGCCAAGATGCCTGACCAGCAGATGGCTCAGCCTATCAGCATGCCGGTGCAAGCCTGAGCCAACCACTCCCACCCCCTGCACAACCCAGCACGCCAGTGAGCAGTGGAGGGGAAGAGCAGAGAGCGAGTGTCTGATAGTCACCGCTCTCTGCTCACTGAAGACCTCAGGTCCAATCCTCCAGTAAGCTAACATTTCTTCTGTTGCTGGACCCCGTCTCTCTGAAAAGTGTTCACATTATGGGAAAAACACTGTATCGTGACCACTGGGTGCTCTTCTACATCCAATGTATGTATTTACTTGTCTTGTACTATCTTCAAAAAAATTCCAATCTATGATACTTATAATTTAATAACACTGTGATGATCTGTTTGTGCAGGTTGGACTGGACGGAACAGGGAAATTAAGCAGTGCAGCCTTGGCCTGCTACATATCAAATTGCAAGCTCTTCCGGTTGTCCATAACGCAGAGTTACAGCCACACGGAATTCAGGGAGGAGCTGAAGAAAATATTCAAGGAAGCTGGACTGCAAGGCAAGAACGTGGTACTCCTCATTAGAGGTTCTGACATCATTAAGGTAAAATGTCATCCATCAAATTATATAGTTTAGCCAGGTCCTCCTAAAGCAGGCATGTCCAAAGTCCGGCCCGCGGGCCATTTACGGCCCGAGGGTCGGTTTAATACGGCCCTCCATGTCAGTGTGTCAGTGTGTCTTATGGAGCGAATATGGAGCGGCCGGTCCGGTATTTCCACCGCGGCCATGTCAGAATACCGGGCCGGCCGCTCAGCTCTGCAGCGGGACCTTACCTGTTCCTCTATCCAGCGGTGCGCTGTCTTCCCGGCTTCTGTAGTGTGGGCGCTGGGCATGACAGCCGGGTGCCAAGTGCGCATGCGCAAGAAGCGGTGCTTTTTGTGAATGGTAAGGCGGTACCTGGGACACATGACAGATCCCAGAAGCCGCCGGACCAATCACAAAGCGCAAGTGCTTCTCGCTCATGCGCACTGGGCACCCGGCTGTCATGCCAAGCGCCATTACAGAAGCCGGGAAGACAGCGCGCGGCTGGATCGAGGAACAGGTAAGATCAAAGAACAACTGCGGAAGTAAGAGCGGGTACCTGTCAAATTCAGGTACCCGCTCCCCACCTCCCCAAAGGTCAGCAGTCATCTGTACTGTCCGCAGTCTCTGGTCATCCCTGTGCTGTCCGCAGTCTCTGGTCATCCCTGTGCTGTCCGCAGTCTCTGGTCATCCCTGTGCTGTCCCTGTGCTGTCCGCAGTCTCTGGTCATCCCTGTGCTGTCCGCAGTCTCTGGTCATCCCTGTGCTGTCCGCAGTCTCTGGTCATCCCTGTGCTGTCCGCAGTCTCTGGTCATCCCTGTGCTGTCCGCAGTCTCTGGTCATCTCCTGTACTGTGTCTGCAGTCCATTAGTTCAGAATTTTTTTTTTCCTGTTTTCTGCCTCTAAAACCTAGGTGCGTCTTATGGTCAGGTGCGTCTTATACGGCGAAAAATACGGTAACTTGGCATAAAATAATTTATTTGCATTTAATTGTAATGGTTCAAAGAATGTTTGGAAAAATGTTCGGCCCTCCACCATGTTCACTTCATCCAATCTGGCCCTCTTTGAAAAAAGTTTGGACACCCCTGTCCTAAAGCAACATCTTTTCTAATTTTGCATACATAGCAAGTAATGCTGAATAGAGAATGACCAAAATCCACCAAGTTCTAATTCAATTCAGCTTTAAAATGTTTGGAATACTGATGTTCACTATGAGGGGTAGGCAACCATTGAGAGGTGGAGATCTACTTGAACAATATGAAAGCGATCAAAGATCACCGAGATTCAGTGCTATTTAAAAAAAAAAAAAAAAAAGAAATTAACTATCAAGGACTAAGTAAATAGTAAGGAAAATGTTTTATTTTTTACAATTTTATTTTTTATTATTTTTTACAATTTGTTTTTAGAAGCCTTGTTGAAAGGGGAGCACATGGGTGGCCAGGCAAAAGAAAAAAAGAGGAAGGAACAAGGACAGGAGGGGCAGCAGGGGAGGCATTTACTAGAAACAATCCCCTGGATGTTCCTCCTGTAGAAGCTGTACGCTGGTGGGAGGGAGGAGATGCTGGCTTTCAGCTGCTGCAGGAGGAAAATAAAGGGGAAAGTCCGAAGACAGGTATTTTACAAATCTAAATTCCCAACACCCAAAGGCAGCTGCCTATGCAGCCTTATTATGCTGGGTACCAGCATAAGGCTGCTTAGGCAGCTGCCTTAGGGTGCCATGGTGAGTGGCGGTAAAATCCTTATACCCCGTCACTTTCTGGGAATTCAGATTTTTAAAATACCTGTCCATGGGAGGGAAGGGGGGGGCGGCAGAGGACACTGCTGGGGGTTGATGGGAAGGGGGGCCAGAGGTCACTGCTTTGGGGGAAAGGGGACACTATTGTGGGGGCGACGTGGAGGATGGTAGGGGACACTTTCCCCCGCAGCAGTGTCCTCTGCCTCCCTCCTCTTCCCTCGCATAGCAGTGTCCTCTGCTTTCTTAACATCACCCTCCAGATATAAGCAGTATCCTACGTGTGTACACAGGAGAGAGTGGAAGGCAACACACAGTTCTGGATGGAGGGCAGGAGCTGCCAGAATTACTTTTCATATTAACAAACTGGTGATTGGTTGGTAGGACAACCCTAGAAACCAATCATCTGCGGGTTAACTTAAAAAATTAATTTGGCCAGCTTCTCGTCATGCCCTTCGTTCTGAGCTGTGCTGCCTCCCGCTATCCGCTGTGCACTGAGGATGACAGCAACGGAGGAGCCTGGGGGGGAGAAGGGCCGGCAGCTAAAAGGTGGGGGTCAGCAGTGCAGGGACCTGTTCATGGTCTACCTGTCACCTGTCCACTACCGACAGACCATGATTGGCAGTTTGCTGGTCCCCGTTCTATAGCCTCGCAAAGCAAAAAAAACAATCTTATCTCACCTCACATGTGGCGGTGAGAATAATCCCCTGGATCAATCAAACTACTTAGTATTTAATCACTACTAACAAATGAACTGCCTTTTACTGTGATTAATGGCTCATCTACACATGAGATTTAATTTCTTGTGAATAAGGTTTAACCCCTTCTTGACAAGGACCTGATTTTACATTTAATGTATTTAAAGGGTTATTATTCGGAAACATCTTGCAACTGGTAACTGTATGGAGTAAAAAATATACATACGGATAATATTTCCAGATATGGATTAGTTTTTTTATTTCACATGCCTTATTTATAATTTTCTCCACATTTATATGCAGACCAAGCTGTCCATCAAAAGTGACAGTTATAAGGACTGGGAAAAACCATATATGCTTACAATGGTCAACTTATATAGTGTAAAATAAAGCTATGGGCAAAATTATAATGACATATACTATATTGCCAAAGGTATTGGAACACCCATCCAAATCATTGGATTCAGGTTCCAATCACCTCCATGGCCACAGGTGTATAAAATCAAGCACATAGGCATGCAGGCTGCTTCTACAAACACTTGTGAAAGAATGGATCGCTCTCAGGAGCCCAGTGAATTCAAGCGTGGTACCATGATAGGTTACCATCTGTGCAATAAGTCCATACGTGAAATTTTCTTGCTACTAAACATTCCACGGTCAACTGTTTGTGGTATTATAACAAAGTGGAAGCAACTGGGAACAACAGCAACTCAGCCACGTAAAATGACAGAGTGGGGTCAGTTCATGGTGAAGTGCACAGTTCGCAGATGTCGGCAACTGTCTGCAGAGTCAATAGCTAAAGACCTCCGAACTTTGTGTAGCCTTCAGAGTAGCACAATAACAGTCGTAGAGAGCGTCATGGAATGGGTTTCCAAGGCTGAGCAGCTGCATCCAAGCCTTACATCATCAAGTGCAATGCAAAGTGTTGGATGTAGTGGTATAAAGCACGCTGACACTTTACTCTAGAGCAGTGGAGATGTGTTCTTTGGAGTGACAAATCATGCTTCTCTGTCTGGCAATCCGATGGGCGTATCTGGCTTTGGCAGTTGTCAGGAGAATGGTACATGCCTGACTGCTTTGTGCCAAGTGTAAAGTTTAGTGGAGGGAGGATTATGGTGTGGGGTTGTTTTCCAGGGGTTGGGCTTGGCCCCTTAGTTCCAGTGAAGGGAACTCTTAAGGCGTGAGCATACCAAGACATTTTGGACAATTTCATGCTCCCAGCTTTATGGGAACAGTTTGGGGATGGCTCCTTCCTGTTCCAACATGACTGCGCACCAGTGCACAAAGCAAGGTCCATAAACACATGGATGAATGAGTTTGGGATGGAGGAACTTGGCTAGTCTGCACACAGTCCTGACCTCAACCGTATAGAACACTTTTGGGATGTATTAGAGCGAAGACTGCGAGCCAGGCCTTCTCGTCCGACATCAGTGCCTGACCTGACAAATGTGCTTCTGGAAGAATGGTCAAACATTCCCATAGACACCCTCCTAAACCTTGTGGCCAGCCTTCCCAGAAGAGTTTAGGTTGTTATAGCTGCCAAGGGTGGGCCAACTCAATATTGAGACCTATGGACTAAGACTGGGATGCCATTAAAGTTCATGTGCATGTAAAGGCAGGCTTCTCTATACTTTTGGCAATATAGTGTATGTGATAGTCTTTTGCTAGAATTGACACAGCAGTTTTTGTATATCTGAGTCCTGCCTGTGCTATTGTTTCATTACTTGTTGATCTGGGCAGTAGATCTGTCATCTTACCTCTTCCTAAAACAACACGGTTTCTTCTGCAGTAGAATCACAAAGCATTGTTGTCACCTTTTGGACAGGGTAGTCTAAAGTACATATAGGAAATGGTTAGAAACTCTAAAGTCTTTATCGAGGCCCATGTCCCCTAAGGGGAAAGTGAAGGGAAATCTCCCTACTGTGAAACAGATGGCAAAAACACAGACAAAATATCATTTTTCCCTTCTCTATTTAAAATGAAAACCTTTCTGGCTTAAGATAAGTCTGGGATACAGGGGTCAACAGAGACACTATTCATTTTATGTGTCCTGTTTGATAACTTTTCAAGAGTCCTCATTATCTGCTCTTCAGGTTCCAACCAAAAAGATTTACTTTAGGCACTGGACAACTACTGTATATACTCTAAACTTTTGTCTTTGCACAGGATTCTTTCCTAGAGGATATAAACAGCATCCTGAACTCGGGAGAAGTTCCTGACCTGTTTGACAAGGAAGAACTGGATGGTCTCTTTGTGGAGCTCCAAACAGACGCTGTAGAGGCCAACATGTCTGACAGTGCAGAGTCTATGCTGACATTCTTCCTGCAGGTAGATCAAACCTCTGTTTAGAGGTGGGATTAATGTTGATTCAATGCTGTACATAGATGATGGGTGTCTGAAGGGAAGGTTGGAGTTCAGCCTTATAATCAGTCTTTCACAGTTGTACAGGCTCCTCTCCTATACTGAAACTGCTTATTTCCACACTGTTAATTACAAGCTGCTACAAGTCAGCTAAAGTTTGCCTTGTTCCCTAATTAGAAAACATCTATCCTTTTCTTCCCCAGCCTTACTGTCCCTGGCCATCCTTTAATTTAATTGCATTGGAGTTCTTTCAATCATGGCAGCTTAGCATCACATGTGAGCGTGACCTAGGGCAGTCTTTTTCAACCAGGATGCCTGTGTTTTTCAGGGGGTGCCTTGGCAAAATGCCTAATAATTGGTTGAAATTGCCCAAAAATTGTGTACAAACCAACAGGTGGATCAAACATGCTGATTTGTTACACAACGCCACAGGTTTTTATTAATCAACATTAAAACCTTTGGCACTGTGCTGGCCAGCTGCCAGCGTCCTAACAACCACTGACACCATGGGTTGATAAGGACATCAGGCACCTACACAGCATCTTTGTTTGACCCCCCTCTGACAGCATTGGGGTCACGTTAGCTGCATGGGGGAAGGAAATGTAGAAGAAGAAATGCTGGAATACTAATCATTACCAGTGTACAAAAGTATATTTGTTTTGAAAGAATAAATTAGCTTTAATGTTGGGTATCTGGCATGTGTAGATGTTGCTGCAATATGTAAAACTATAAGTTTTCTTTTTTACATTTTAGAATGGGTGCCTTCAAAATTGTTTATATTTTAAAAGGGTGCCTTGACTGCAAAAAGGTTGGAAAACATTTACCTAGGGCAACAGGGGCATACTAATGGGAGTGCAAGGGGTGTGGTCTGTCCCGGTTGCACACTTGCTGGGGATGCTTCTGCCATCTGCCATTTCTTTTTTTTGTGTTGCACAGTGGTGCCCTGCACCACCGTGCAACTCATAAAAAAGTTTCAGACGGATGCAGCACCCCCAATGAGTCCACAACCACTGCTTAAGTGACAGCAGCTCTTAGAATGGGAGGAAGTCTCTTTCCTTCTTCAGTCATACAGGACTTTCTCTCACTCTGAGCTCCCACTGGTTGGTGAGTTGAGGGAAGGAGAGTGGGGCCCCTGTTCTGAAGATTCTGTACCTCGGGGGAAAGGGGTTGTGTGACAGATCTAACCGGGGCAGGGGATTTTGGCTATGGCAGCTTGGGACTCTTGTTGGGGAAATTGTCATGGGACCCTGTCTTCAGGAGCAATCTGTAGTGGCGTTTGGAGGAAATCATGGATTACAAAGACCAGATGCTGAACATCTCAGAAGTTCTCTGGGCACAGGAAGATTTGGAGTTTCTAGCCATTCAGGAATTTGAGCTGGAGATCGCCTATAGACGACTGCTAGACGCTGCTCTGCAGCAGGGTTGGGCTCCCTTTGCCTGAAGCTATCGAGGTACCAGCCAACAGCTCTGAAATCTCACCTTGAAAAATCTGTTTCTGCACAGGACGAGCTTGGATGGAGGAATGATTCTGCCCAGCAGCCAGATGAGGGTACTGGAGATGGAGCTCATCTCTCCAGCAGCAGTTCAAGGACCTGGGACAGAAGGAAGCTGCCCTTACTCCTCAGCCACAGAGCCCAGAAAGCATGGATTTAATTGGATTTTCATTGGAGGATGCAACATTTACTGAGCTTCCAGAGCTACATGGAGCCTGGGCAGGGCAGCCCTTCTCCACAGCAGTAGTCCGATACAGTGGAACTCCTAACCCCTGCTGAAGCTCTGGCAGCAGGGCAGAGTACTGCCAGTCTCTGCCCATACACAGTCCCAGCAGAAACGCTGGCAACAGGGTCTACTACCTCTGCCCAACACCTATAGTAACATGGGAACCTCAGGGAGAAGTAGTCAGTGTTTCATCTCATTTTTATCCATCATCACAGACTGATCCGCTCTCCCTATCTGATCAGAGGCTGAACTGACCGGGAGAAGCAGACAAAATCTCCGGTCTCCTCCATGGGCCATAATCAGTAGGTAGAAGGCTAGTCCCTAGTTCCCTCCAAAAGCCCCTGCCCCGTTTGGGTCTGTCACAGGTTATATGTTCTTAGAGAGTCTGCACTGGGGAAAGGGGGGTAGTTGTCTCTACTGAGGATTTTGTACTGGGGGAAAGGGGATGTAGCACCCTCCTAGCTAGGTTAATAACAGTTTTAGGTAACTTTAGTTTTTGACTGTATATTGTTGCCTTGGGATAACTAATGATGTAAGATCTGCCCAATAAGGACACAACCAAGAGTTAAAACCTGATGGAGGTTCTAACCCTTCTCCATTCTATCCAAAACTACAAAAAGTGTAAGTTGCCATATTTTATGGCCCATCGTGCACATCACTGGGTATAAACTGACTGAGCTGTTTGCCATTTCGTTTTTTTTTTTTTTTGTATGTCCTCATTATACAATATCAGACATGGATCTGATTGCTGTTGATCAGATCTTTAGTAATTTTAGTGCCTCCCCATCCTTGTCTTTCCCCATTTTGAAAATCAGAGTATTATGCAACATTAATGTGACATTACAAAACCTCTCCTTGGCTGCAGCGGGTTCGTTCAAAGCTACATGTGGTCCTTGCCCTGAGTCCTGCAGGACAGACATTACGTGAACACTGCAGATCTCACCCATCTCTGGTCAACTGCTGTACTATAGACTGGTATGACGAGTGGCCGGAGGAAGCCCTCTGCAGTGTGGTCAACAGTTACATCACACAGCATCATCTGCTGCAAGACAATCAGGTGAGCTTTCCTATCCATTTGTGCTTTCATTAGAGATATACTCACCCAAAAATGAATGTATCCATTAAGGGTTAAGATTGGTGGATTTAGTCTTTTTGCATTTCTCAGAAACGTCAGCTGCAGCTTCTCTCAGATTGAGATCCCAATCAACTATGCCCCTTACTCCCACCTAATATATTACTCCTTCTGCTGAAACAAAGGGCTCTCATTTCCTTCTGCTTTGTCAATAATGTAAAATAATCCAACTGGTAGACCACCGTGTATTGACCATATAAGGTGTGAGGAACAGAGGACTCTCATTTCCTACTGCTTTCTCCATAATGTAAAATATGCTGGAGCTGGGAACTCATGAGGGGGAAATTGAAATCTCTTGTCCCTCTTTCCTTCTCATTTATCCCTCAATTTGGTCTGCTCTATATAGTTGTATATAAAATGCACTTGTTATCTTTCAAAAAGTGTTTCCCAGTGCTAAACCTTTCATTCAATTTCTAAATAGCTGCATTTGTACATTTCAACAGCCAGGAATTGTATTGGAAAAAAGAGCAATTGTGGGTTTAGCTAATCTTTTTTCTTAAATAATTTTCCTTTAACCACTTGGTAACCGCGCAGTTACCCAGTTCTGGGAGGGCGTCATATGACGTCCTCCCAGAAAGCGCCCGCCTGCATGCCCCCAGGGGAGTGCACTTGGCGATCTCCATGATCGCTGTGTCCTATGGACACCGCTGATCATGTGATGAGGTAAAAGGCCAATCACAGCAGTCTTTTACCACGTGATCAGCTGTGTCCAATGACACAGCAGATCATGAAGTAAATACTGTTAACGGTTTTCGGCAGCACTTTCCTCATGCTATCACATGAGGAAAGCATGAGGAAAGTACTGCCGACAACCTGCAGCTGTCGCAGAGCACCTCGGCACTGATCATCAGGTTACTGATGATCAGTGCCCTGCAGTGCCTCCCACCAGTGCCCAGCAGTGCCCCCCATCAATACCCCCCCAGCAGTGCCACCACCCAGCAGTGCCACCCATCAGTGCTACCCAGCAGTTGCACCCATCAATGCCACCCATCAGTGCTGCCCATCAGTGCCATCAGTCAGTGCTGCCAGTCAGGGCTGTGCCCATCAGTGCCGCCTATCAGTGACCATAATTGCTGCATATCAGTGCAGCATCATCAGTGCCTCCTCATCAATGCCCACCAGTGCCGCCTCATCAGTGCCCATCAGTGCTGCCTATCCCTGCCACTTCATCAGTGCCCATCAGTGCTGCATATCAGTGCAGCCTCATCAACGCACATCAGTGAAGGAGAAAAATTACCTGTTTGCAAAATTTTATAATAGAAACAAAGAAAAAAAAAATTTTTTCTAATTTTTTTGCTTTTTTTTTTGTTTATAGTGCAAAAAATAACCCCACCCCAGTGGCAATTAAATACCACCAAAAGAAAGCTCTGTGTGTGTGAAAAAAATGATAAAAAGTTCATATGAGTACAATGTTGCATGACCGCGCAATTGTCATTCAAAGTGCAACAGCACTGAAAGCTGAAAATTGGCCTGGGCACGAAGGGGGTAAAAGTGCTCGGTAGGCAAAAGGTTAAGGAGGTGTGGCAGGGGGAGTGTTGTATGCCTACATACTTTTGCTATTAGGTGTCCCTCTTTCCCATCTCAAAAGGTTGGGAGGTATGCTAAGGACCTGATTTCAGCACTTGCTGTTTTATTCCAAAGACCAATAACTTTTCATTCCTTAACCTCTTGCCGTCCGCCTGCTGTTTATAAACGGCAGGGCATTGGTGGCAGTCCAAGGTCGGGTTGCCGTTCCTAAACGGCACCCGCCTTTTCTAGCTGTGCGCGCTCCCTAGGAGCGCGCACCACCGCGATCCGGTGTCCGCTGTGTCCTCCGGACACAGTGAAACACCGATCGTCGGACGGGACCTCTGTACGAGGTCCCGGTCATGTGATCACTGATTGGCGAATCAGTGATCACATGCAAAGTAGTAAGCAAGATGTCACTTGTGACATCATTGCTTACTACGTGTGAAATCTGTGAATGATCAGAGGTCACATGGTACAAGGCTATTCACAACAGCCTTGTACCATGTGACAAGCTGTGACCAATCACAGCTCACTCAGTATTTCTCAATGACTGCAAGAATGCAGACAGAGAGAAAGAGAAATGATTGCTTTTACATCCTAATGGGTGTAAAAGCAATCAGTGTAAAAAAAAAAAAAAAAAAAAATCTTCATCACCCCCCACAAGTAGTACAGTGTCACCATGGTGACACTGTACTGCTAGGTTGACAGTATGTAAAAATAAAAAATAAAAATAAAAAATAATATAAAAAAAAATAAAATAAAAATGTAAAAAAAAAATGTTTAAAAATTATAATGTTTGGTTATAAACTAATTTGGATTTTTTTTTTTTTACTAAAAAAATAACGGAATAAATTTTGGCCAAGATTTAGGATGAAAATATTATTTATTTGCAAAATTTTATAAAAACTTTTTTTTTCAAAATTTTTGGACTTTTTCATTTACATAGTAAAAAAAATAAAAATCCCAGCGGTGAATAAATACCACCAAAATAAAGCTTTATCTGTCTCAAAAAAATGGTAAAAAATTCATATGGGTACAGTATTGCATGACCGCGCAATTGTCATTCAAAGTGTGATAGCGATGAAAGCTGAAAATTGCCTAAAAGTGTCCGGACAGGAAGTGGTTTAAGTTTTTACAGGGTATCTCCCATGTGGCTCTCCTGTGCACTCCTCAGTGATTCAGTGGGATCTAAATTTTGTTCTTTTAGCACTTAAGAAAATTGCCCTTTGAACGTATTAGGGATATGTGTCTGAGCTGGCAAGTGTCTCACTGGCCTCATCCTGTCTCCCTCTTGGTTATACACAAGGATTAGGTGGAGTTGAGGCCTAGAACTTCCTTCCTCCCTAAGGTAGCTTTGCCTTTTACCTCAACCAAAACATCATCTCCAGTTCATCAGAAGGAGATCTTCCTCCATTTCCTGAATATAGTTTGTGCTGTGCATGTCTACCTCACAGCCACTGCTTCAATTAGAAGAACTGACTCCCCCTTTGTTATTCCAGGTGGTGTCCATAAAGGGTAGCCTGCCTCTCATTTATTTTTCAGTGGCTCAGACAAATCATAATTCAGGCCTGTGGGTTTAAAGAAGTTCACCTTTGGAACATGTTACATATTCCACCCATTTTCCCATAGCTGCAGCCACGCCCACCCTCCCCAAATAGCGCAGCCTCGTCGTTAATTCATGGACCTCTGTGAATGAATTATCTGCAAGTCCTGACAACCTTGGCAGCTGTGGGCTTGCAGTTTTCAATGAACTACAATGGCGCTGTGGAGCGCCATGGTAGTTAATTGAAGCTTCCTGTCAGTATATCTGCTTGACCGTACATCCTCTACAGCAAGCAGATATTCTGACAGATCTGCAGGAGACCTGCATGGCATCAGTGATCTACTGATCGCTGGTGCAATGCTTTACAGGGTCATTTGGACACAAATAATAAATGCACATTTTTTGCAGGTAAAAAGCATTGCCCCGCATGGCCGCGCTGCTTTCAAATTTGACAGATAGTACGGGGAAATCTGTCAGAGGGAGGGGGTGGCGGGCGCGGCTGCAGGTATGGGAATATGTTACATGTTCTACCCTAGAAACAGTGGAAACATGTAACATTTTCCATAGGTGAACTTATCCTTTAAGAGTAAGATCCTTAAGGTGGCCCCTTCTCCAGTTGTGCTGTTTTGTTGTTGGTCTGTTAGTGTTTTGTTGCCCACCGTTGGACTGCTTTTTTGGGGAAACTTGAGGGACTGCTTTTTTTTGGGGACTTCCCAATAGTCATTGAATTCCTCTGTCTCTGAATGAGAGCAAGGAAAATGGGATTTTTGTACTCACTGCAAAATCTTTTTTTGTAATTCATTGAGGGACATACTGTATGCCCCATACTAATCATGCTGGGAATAGGAGTGGTTATACAGAGCTGGCATTCTTTTTTCTTCACCTGTATCCAAATCACAGTCCTGTTATACGAAAGTATCCCGCCAGTTACTTGTAAGATATTTTGTTTAAGGGTTTAACATTTGCTTGCTCTTTACAAAACTAAAAACAAAGGTTTTGGCTACGCTTTAACTTTCACTTTAATGAAACTTTTCCATGAAGTGAACTTTGAAAGTAGTAGTGATACTTCTGATAAGTAGATTTGTGGTGTCCTCTGCAGGGTCTTCAGGACGGGATTGCTCAAGCCTGTGTCGCCATTCACAAAAGTGTTTCCAGCAAAGCAGAACAATATTTGAGGGAGAGCAGAAGACATTATTATGTGACCCCTCAAAGCTACCTGAGTTTCATAGACACTTTCTCAAACATCCTACAGACCAAGAGACAAACACTGACCACAGACAGGTAAAGGACTCTACTAACTAGTAATAATAATTGAATGTCTACTGTCTGCCATTCTTGGCAATGTGTCCCTTTAATAAGTCTAGCTGTGTATAGTGACAGCACCTACATAAACTGTTAGTTATTCTAGATGGGAAACATATGGAGCCACAATTGTCCAGCGGACAAAAAACATTTTTGATCTGCTTTGGCTGACTACCTCTACATCCTTTGCCATACTCTTGTGTTGTTATAATCATAACAATCCTATTTCAGTATAATTGCTGATAAATATAGAGACCCCATTTAATAAAATCCCTGTCTCCTAATTCTCTCTCCCAATTGTGCGTCTGTTGTTACCCTGTCACACAGACAGTGGCGGTAGAGAGAATGCTGGAGATCAGCAAAATGATGCAACAAAGCCTATAGAATAGGTGAAAATAAGTATGTTATTTTTAACGTGAAACTACAGGCAAAAATATAAGTCCTGCTAGATCACTTCAGGCTTGTCCCTTCTGCAGGTAAATGTAAAACATTAAAGATAAATACCTATACTGTTTAAACTGTCTCACCCTGCTCTGCACATTGTCAGTTGCTCTCTATTTTTCAGCACTGTGCCAAAAATGTAGGGGCTGACCTGCTGAGAGCTTAAAGATTTAATGCTGCTCAGGGGCTCTTGGCTTCAACAAAATGGAAACCCCCGGCAAGAAATAAAGGAACAATGCTGAAGGCACACAGTAATTTTAGTAGCATAATTACTAAAGTGCAATGGAATGTATGTTCCTTGCTAAAGAACTTTATTTTTTATCAAGGTGTTTTGGGTAAAGGTCCACTTTAAAAGTCAATTGTGTATGAGGCAGAGAGATAACAAAATGCTTTTAATAGTATATTGAACAGGCCAGAAGGGACCAAATCAGAGACGTTTATTGTTAGGGCTTACGTACACTTTAAGGGTTTGCTTAAATGTCAAGCAAGTGTGATTGGAAAGGTTCACAGATAATCAGCAGTTGTGTTTTGTTTCTAAAGGAGGGGGTCATATATGAGGGTTTGTTCTTCCAGACACTTAAAAGAATGGATGTACTGAATAGAAACGATTTATAGTTGCTGGTATTGGATCACCCAGGTGTGTGGAGCAACATATTTTCCTAATCGTACTTTACAAGACACCTAGGATTTAGATATTCGTGACAACTTGGGTTAGACTGCTACCTTCAGGTGAAAGGACACTGGCCAAAAAAGGCAGGAATCCCCACCCACACACAACCCCTCCCAACTCAACTAAGTCTCAGTTTTTTATCTAGTGTCCTTAGGTGATAGATTTGCCTCAGTGTCTTTCTGAAGATCTCTCACATGGGCTTTGTTTCATAAATTCTGACCCCTGATGGAACAGAGGTGGAATTCTCCAGATCAGGCCAAGAGGGACTGGACCTGGACCCAACAAGCAAGAGCAGGGACAGTCTGTAACACTGCCAGCTGGTGCTGATGATGTTATGCGCAGTTTGTGCATACGTCAGTGCTGTTTACCGGTTTCCTGGGGCAGGAGTGACACCTCCAGCTCCATACAGCAAGTGATTTTACAGAATACAGCACCTGCACATTGCAGCTTATGGGGGTACAGCAAATATATTGGGGACACCTGATTAGGGGCTGACTGCCAATACAGTGTTTGCCTGTGCCTACATGCCTCACAGCTGAAGAACAATAGTGTGGGCTTCCAAATCCCTCTGTCAGATAAGGAGGATCCCCCCATGCACAGTTCTTCCTTCAGTGACTCCCCTAAGGGTCAGATTAGCTCTGAATCCCTGCCCTTATCTGGTATATCCACTATCCCAGAGGAACAATCCTCCTTTTTCATTTGTGTTAAGGAAGGAGTTTTCTGCAGCCATATCTGGTTTGTGAGATCGCCTCCCATAGGTACTCACTGGTCTAAAATGCCTTGGACACAAATTTGGATGCTCCTTCCTTCCTTTATGCTTTGTGGAAGGAAAATGTGTCAGAGGAAAATCCTTCAGAAGAGGAAGATGCCATCAGGGATTAGGACTCTTCTGTAGATGAGTCCTCCTAGCAAAAATCTCAGATTCCAAGGCTGTTACAGACACAGATATGGTGGTGCGCACAAACCTGAAGTTACCTCTAACAGAATACTGTTACACTAAAGTCACTGGTTTTGGTTTCCGACAACCACTAAAGGATCCCAAGATTTTTCTGTGCACCCTCACTTACTTTGTATGCTGACTGGGCTCACCACTGAAGAGTTTTGCCCATTAGTACCCCATGGAGGATGAATTCTTCAAGGAATCGGGCTATTTTCTGCTGTTTAAAGACACAACAGGTAAGAGGTTAGAGGCCCTCTTTAAGGTCTCCTTTTCTCTGGTTACAGCAGCCTTCAGTGACTGTAGTGGGAATTTGCAAAGCCCTTAAGGTCTGGGCAAAAAGCATGCATTTGGTAGTGCTTGGAAGATTTTCTGAGAACTATGAGTTTCTCAGTAAATTCTCTGAACGATCCGATATGGCAGCTTTCAAGAGTGGGCACAATGACTGTCCATATGAGAATGATTCTATGGCTCAAGTGTTGGTTAGGGCAACTTTTCTTCAAATTGAAAGTCTTCCATTTGAGGGCAAATGCTTGTTTTGTTTGAACCGTCCTTGGATACCTTCATCCAGAAGGTTACTGTAAGTAGAAGCACGCTTTTGCCTCTGAAGAAGAAACGGAAAATGACAGGTCATAAGTCAGTAACTCCTTCATAATCCAAGAAGTGTTCCTTTCATAAGCAACCAGCCTCGGGCTCTAAACAGAAGGCTACAAACCAGTTCCTTAAGAATAAGTGGACCCCTAAGTCATCCAATTCAGATTAATCTTCCTCAATGTGAAGGAACAAACCCCACTTGCGTGGGTGAGGGGACATATATTGGCCTTCATGGCCGCTTGGACTCAGGAAGTCATAGACAATTGGATTTGGGATTTTGCTGCTTTCCTCTCACTGTACCCAGTGTGTCAGTGATTCCTGAACATTCAGTTTCAAGCTTCTGCTATCTGGTCATCTCTTATGAGTTCTACAAAGTAGATGTTCATGCTCCTGCGGACGGCAGATTTTGGCTAAAGGTCTTGCAGGTGGCTTTGTAGTTGAGTTCCCTGCTGATCTGTTTTTGGGTGTGTTGGCCTTGTTGCTCTGTTTTCCCACCCCACATGTTCACTGCTTTGGAACATCCAGAGAGGTCCTGCATATTTAAGCCCTCTGTGTCCTATGATGTAGGATTAGATTAAGAAATGAGGGTTTTTAGTTTACCTTTTAAAATTCTTTTCTTGGAGTACCTCACAGGACACAGAGATCCCTCCACTCTTGTGTCCTCATTGCATACTAAAAAACTGAGGCTTAGTTGAGCTTGCAGGTGCTATGCCTGGGCAGGGGTTTCTGCCTTTTTTGGCCAGTGTCTGTTCACCTGAAGGTGGCAGTATCACCCCAGTAGTCAGTAATGTCTAAGTCGTTTGTATCCTGTGATGTGCTCCAAGAAAACGATATTAAAGGTAATGAAACAATATAATTTTCTATAGTAAAGACAGATACTCTTATTTTTAAAACTTCTGGTAGCCCTGCAGTGCTTAGAACGTTACTCACCTCAGCTCTGATTACTATAAGGTCCGGTGCTTCCACTAGGCAAACTAGGCAGTCGCCTAGGGCAAACTGCCACCTAGGAACACCTAGGCACAGCACAGGCTGGCACTCTCTCTGTGTGGAACACTGCCACATCGTAAATGATCCTTCAGCTGAGAGGGAGGGGTGGCAGAGGGGGAAGAAGAAAGGACAGAGGAAGATGCCAGCAGTGTGTGTGGGCCGGTGCTGGGTTGCCTGCTGTCACAGCATTTTATCTTCCCCCATTGCCTGGGGAATTCCAGCCTGGGATCTGTCAAAAGCTGTCTTATGGCACTCTATTTTTGCAAAATAAAAGAACTTTAGCAGTTTCATGTTTTGTTGATTTAATATTTTCTACTGTCTTTAATTTTTTTTTGGGGGGGGGCAAGTAGCTGGTTTTGCCTAGTGAGCAAAATAGTCTAGCACTGGCCCTGACTACTGTATCTCTGGTGGTTAATGGCATTACCCTGATAAGTCCTTCGGTCATTTTCTGTCCCTTTGGTGTAGGTCAGTATAAATAGGCAGTATGTCTTGGGCCTCTCTGTGATGGAGCGACACAGTAGGCAGACTTTCAAACTTTCCAATCAGTACTGTATATGTGTGTGTTATAGTGAATTATTCTTTCTATTAGAAATCGTTTCTATACTGGGCTGTCTAAGCTGTTGGAGGCCTCCTCGTCCATTGAGATCATGCAAGATGAACTGGTGGCTTTGGGACCACAAATAGAGCAAAAAACAAAGGTAAGATGTTGTGATGTCATTATGCTACATACATCACCTGGGAACTTCCTTAGATGAAGGCCTTTTGCCTCACTCAAGGTTAACATACACCAAACTGTTTTTTTTTTATTGTTATTAATATAATGTTTCTCCTTCCTTTAGGAAATTGAGGAATTGATGGCTAAACTCCACAGGGACTCAGTTGTGGTGGAGCAAGTTCGAGCCATCGTAAAGCAGGAAGAAGAGGTGATGGCACAAGAAACCAGAATCGTACAAGAATATGCTGAGGTAACAGGTCTTTTACATGTGGGTTGCCATGCACACAAGACCGGATATGACTTTAGACATAAGGGGTCTCTGCCTAAAGTGTCAGAAGCAAAATGGCTGCACATATATACTGTCCCATTATCAGCAAAAATACAGTCATCTCATAGAAGCTTAAGACCCTTTTGCCAGATCATTGATTTTAAACAACAATCTTCCCATAAGACTACATGTGCATTGTATGCATGTATGCATGTTATTTATCAGTAAACGCCTCCAGTGGGTAGTAGATATCCAAATTA